ATGAAACCTGGCTTTGCCACTCATTACCTATTTGACCTTGGAAAAAATTATTTCACCTCTCTTGGCCTCAGTTTCATCATTTGTGAAATGAGGGTTGGAATAGATGATCTCTAAGTTCTTTTGAAGCTCTAAATCTAAATCTATAGTCTTGTGACCATTTTTTTTAAAAAGCAATTCAATTTGTAGTAGAAATCCAGTGCTGGACAGGTGATAGGTCCCACTCTACTCTACCTTGGTCTGATCACATCTGAGATACTACTGTATATCCACTCAGAGGGATACATTTTAAGAGGTTCATTGGTAAGTTGAAGAGCATCCAGGATGGTGAGAAGACCCAAAACCATGCATCTGAGGTTGATTAGTCTGGAGAAGAGAATATTTAGGTGGGACATGTTCACTATTCCCCAAATATGTGAATAGTTGTCATGTTGATGAGAGATTAGACTTTTTCTATGCCCTACCAAGCCTTGTGGATGGAAGTTACAAGAAGGCAAAGCTATCAAAAAAAAATGTACTGGGAAGCCTCACTAGGTAGGAAGTTTCCCATCAGTGGAGATTTCAAGGGGAGATCAGATGATCATTTTTCAAAGATGTTATAGATAGGATTGATGATTTGGTGTGTGGCTCTTTGATTGAATCCAAATGTCACCGAACAAATCCCTGGGGATTTGTTCAAAGTTTGTTCAAATTTGATTCAATCAAAGGGCTATAATCAAAGACCTAGAGGGCCACATGTGGCCTCAAGGCTGCAGGTTCCCCACCCCTGGACTAGATAATCTCTTGGGTTCCCTTATAATTCCAAGAGAAGACTTTCATGGATTTCAAGCCTTCCTTGCACCTCTGAAATTAGGTTATTTGGCATCTGTCTACTATATCTGTAAGATTGGTCCTTCTTCCCATAAGGATAAACCTCCGCATATCGATAATACTTAAAGAAAGGGATTGTTTAATGGGAACTTTGTTTGAGAATTATTCTAGTTTGTGTGATGACAGCTAAAATTTTGAATGCTATGGTGATGCTGATAATAATAATAATCTCTGACATTTATAGCACTTTAAGGTTTGTAAAGCACTTTACGTACAATATCTCATTTGATCCATACAATAACACTGTGAAGGAGGTGCTATTACTATCCCCATTATACAGATCAGGAAACTGAGAGAGGTTAATCCAATTAATAAGTGTCTGAGGTAGGACTGGAATCCAGGTGTTTCTGACTTGATGTTCAGGCTCTTATCACCTCTCACTCTTTCAATAGCCTTCTAACTGGTTTCCCTGTCTCAAGGCTCTAGTCATTTCAATTCATCTTTTCTTCAGCTGCCAAGGCAAATTTTTAAGTGTAGACCATGTCATTCCCTTATTCAATGAGCTCTAGTAGCTCCCTATTACCTTTAGGACCAAATTTAACCTTCTCTGTTAGCAATTTAAAAATCTTCATAACTCAGCTTCTTCCCACCATTCTAGTCTTCTGACAATTTACTTCCCTCCACACTCTCTATGCAACTATTACAATGTTGTTCTTCAGTCTTTTTCAGTCATGTCATACTCTCTATGACCCCATTTGGGGTTTTCTTGGCAAAGATGCTGAAGTGGTTTGCCATTTCCTTCTCTAGCTCATTTTACAGATGAGGAAACTGAGGCCAACAGGATTCAATGACTTGACCGGGGTCACATAGCTAGTAAGTGTCTGAGGCCAGACTTGAACTCAGATCTTCCTGACTCCAGGTCCAGCACTCTATCCATTGCACCACCTCCTTGCAGTTTTTCAAACACACCACTCCATTTTCCATCTCTGTAAGTTTGTGCTAGATCTCTCCAAAGTCTGGAATACTTCCTTCCCCTCTGCTTTTTGGTTTGCCTGGCTTCCCTGAAGACTCAGCTCAAAGGTTACCTTCTTTGGTAGGAATTTCCGCCCTTTCAGATTATTTGTCATTTACTTTGTACATATTTTGTATGTAACTAGTTAGAAGTTGTCACCCTCATTAGAATGGAAACTCTTTGAGGGTAAAGCCTTGTTTGTTTTGCTTTTCTTTGTATCTCCAGGACATGCCACCATGCCTAGCATTTGTTGTTCAGCCATTAAGTTATGTCTGACTATATATGACCCCATGGAAAGTGTATGGGATTTTCTGGTGGTTTGCCATTTCCCCCTCCAGTGTGTCCCCATCTTACAGATAAGGAACTGAGGCAAATAGGGGTTAAGTGACTTGCCCAGGGTCACATAGATAGCAAGTGTCAGAGGCCAAATGGGACCTAAGATCTTCCTGATTCCAGGCCTGGTGCTCTATCTACTTCACCATCTACCTGTCTGCCTGGTCTTAGCAAAAACTTAATAAATGCTCACTGAGTGAAGTCCAAAGCGGGATCCTTATTCCAGGTTGCCTCTTAGGAGTAATGTGAGTGGAGTTGTGAAGATTTGCCTTTTAATAAACCAGATTAATGCCCTAGGGGAAAGAAGGCAGAATATGAGCCTTCAAACTGGCCTGAGGGAAGTTTTAGGCAAAAGATCTTTGCAGTTGGTCTGAATGGCCTTGAAAGGCAAGATGTTTCCAACTTAAAAGAATTAATATTAACCAAAAAAAGCCTGAGAAACTTTAGTTAGGACTTAGTTATGAAAGTTTACCCAGCTTGAAAATGATTATATATATATATGTATATGTATTTTATGTTAATTTCCAATGACCTTAACCTGTCGTATCATTTCTGAATTTGTATATTTCTTCTCATTGATAAACAAATTCTAGAAAATACCCTCGTGTGGTCATGCTACTGACTTCCCTGGCTTCCATTAAGTCCCAACTAAAATTCCACCTTTTACAGGAAGCGTCTCTGAACCCCTCTTAGTTCTAATGCTTTCCTTTGTTAATTATTTCCTATCTATGCTGTACATAATTTGCTTTGTATATATTTTTTTCTCCCCCATCCGAATGTTTGTTTCTTGAGGTCAAAGACTGTCTTTTGCCTCTTTTTGCATCCCTAGTGCTTAGCACACAGTAGGCACTAAATAAATGCTTATTGATTGATTTATTGTAGTCTGGAGTGTGTTGACAAAAAGACTAGAAAGGAAATAAGCAATTGAGTCCTGGAACTGGGCACCATGATAGGTGTAAGTGGATATAAATGGATAGAAAGTGGGAAGGTTGGAGTTCAGTAGATATCTGACCCCTAGAACCCCACGGGACTCATGAGACAGAGAAGGTCAATCAATTAATCCATTATCTTTTATTAATGTTAGCAGTGTGCCAGATCCTGTGCTCAGTGCTAGGGATACAAAAACAAATGTGAAAAGGGCACTCATCTAAGAAGCTAATTTTCTAGAAGTCAACATGTATGGCCATATGTTTATAAAGAATAAATAAAAAATAAATATGAGGAAATTAAGGGAAGGAGACCTAGTGGTTGGGTGAGGAAGGGTCACGAAAAGTTTTATGTAGAAAGTGGTACTTGAGTTGAGTCTTGAATAAAACAAGGATGCTATGAAACAGGAGTGAGGGTCACATCAAAACTCTCATGCATGAATCAGACCCTTGTTCTTTGGATGATGTAAAGGCTAGGATTTTCAATCACTGAGCATCAGCTAGTTCTTCATAAAGTTCCAAAATCTAAAAGTTTTTACAAAGTTCTAAAATCAACTAGAGTGTTTTAACCATTACACTGAATTTTATGCTGAATTTTAATAAGAAACATATTGATATTTTAAAATTTTGGTTAATTAGCCTTTCAAATATTTGGTAAGGTTTTTTTTTTGTTATTTTGAAGTCATAGTAACTTAAAAGTGCATTAAGACTTTTGGGATCCCCAGTTAAAGAGAACTGCTCAATCGATCCTGTTGACTTAGTATGAAGCTCTACTCTTGTATCCTTGCTCTCATTATCCTGTACCCTTTGTTTGGGTTCTTTTGTCCATTGACCTAAAACCCTGATGGCTAATTTCCCTGGACTCTGGACCCTCCTTAAGCCTATTGTTGTTATTCATCTCCCCCCTTTTTTTTGTTTGTTTTTTTTTGTTTTGGCTAGGCAATGGGGTTAAGTGACTTGTCCAGGGTAACACAGCTAGTAAGTGTTATGTGTCTGAGGTTGGATTTAAACTCAGGTCCTCCTGAATCCAGTGCCAGTGCTCTATCCACTGCTTCATCTAGATGCCCTCATCCTTCGTTTTTCCAAGAGGGCCAATGATATCACAGGGTGATGTTTTGACTTGTGTATGAATTGGATTTAAGTGAGTTGCACAAAGTTGTCAGCCTCATTCTCTCTTCTAGAGTCATCAAAGGCCACTGCAGTAAACTGCTTGCCATCTAGAAATTTAGAGGGAGTCCTGAGTAACAGGATTACATATTATAATATATGATGTATTATATTATTATTAAATATAATATAATATAATATATAATTATATATAATAACAGCCATATTAGGGCATTTCTACTGGAAGAACTGGTCAGTTAGGTGGTGAAGTGGATAAAACACTGGGCCTGGAGTCAGGAAGACAAATCCTGCCTCAGATACTTACTAGTTGTGTCATCCTGGGCAAGTCATTTAAGCTTTTTTGCCTCAGTTTCCTCATCTGTAAAATGAACTGGAGAAGGAATGGCAAACCACTCCAGTATCTTTTCCAAGAAACCCAAATGGGCTCATGAAGCATTGGACACAATAGAAAAACAAACAAAACGACTGTACTAGAAGAGCTACAGCCACATTGTTATCTGCATAAGGCAGCCTAGGGAACCTCTGGTATACAGTCTGAAGCTTTAGCAGATGTGAGGATTTAGTAGCTGGATAGTGGATTATTTGAAGATCAATAGCTGTCTTACTCCATGCAAATCCCTGGATTGAAGACAGCTGAACCATCTCCCATTGATTCTGCAAACTATATTTATGGAGGAATGGAAGTGATGTAATTAAACAACTGCTATACCTCAGTTAATGTCTTGGGGATAATCCAGTATTTGCTTAAAATCATCATCTCTCCAGATTGACAATTAAGCTCATGCTGGAGGACCTTAATTTCTAGCATTGTCTTGAATCAGCAGAGCTGATTGCTGCTGATGGGGGAAGAGAGCAAGCACATCTTGTGGAAGGCAGGGCTGGCTGTGAGTATCTTTGTGCAGGCCCAGCTTCCATGCCAGCTGGGGAAGATGAAGCTTGGGGGGGGGGTAAGGGACACAGAGGACCAAGTGTGGTCAAAGCTCCTACCCCTTTGGAAGTGGGTTCAGCTGAATTCAGCATCTCTACCATTAACCTCCTAATTAACAATTGCTTCTCAAGACCCAGTGGCCCTGGCACATAGACTGGTGCTCCAAATCTGAAAAAATCAATTGGTCATCTTTTTCCTTGGATAATAAATCTGGCTGTCACTTCCTTTCTGTGTGCAAAGGCAAACAATAGGAGTTGAAATGTGCTTGGCTAGCTGAGGAGGGGGAAACAGTCTACAATATAGTGTCACCTTGTGGCCTCACTCTGCTTGTGGGATAAGGATGCTCCAATTACAGGCACTATGGAAATGGGAATGAAGAATCTCCTCAAGTCGGATGGCTTCCAAGGTTAAGAATGAGAAGATCAGACTGCAATCATGTTTGGCTAAGTCGTTGCCAAACACTAGGCCTGACCTTGATGTCTCTGGGCTGTCATTGCTGGTGAATCTATTGGGGGGAGATCCCATGTGATTAATTTGGAATGCAGGGGCCCTAATGACGGGCTTCATCAAAGGTCCAGCACTTTGAGCCAGCACCTGAAACTTCAAGGTGGTATCAAATTCTTTTTCCCCCTTTCAATATTATTTAATTATATTCTTGTCAAAAAGAGGAAATGTGGCATATTGGATACAGAGCTGCCCTCAGAGTCAGGAAGCCCTGAATTCAAGTTCAGCCTTTGACACATACTGGCTTTGTGACCTTTGGCAAATCACTTAACCTTTCAATGCTTCAAGTGTCTTTCTAAGACCTGAGGTCTTAACCTTCGAGTCTATGAACTTCTTTTAAAAAAAATATTTTGGTAATATTATTTCAGTATAAATGGTTTTCTTTGTAATCCTAAGTATTTTATTTTATGCTTTTAAAAACATTATTCTGAGAAGGGGTCTATAGGTTTCACCAGGTTACTAACAGGGTCTTTGAATAAAAAAAAAAGGTTAAGAACTACAGCTCTAGGAATTTAAGTTACAGAGCAGATGCCAATTTGCTTTAGTAGTGGGCATTTTTTCATAAGGAATTCCTTATGCCAATGAAATCACAGATCTCATCCAAAAAGGGAAAAAAAATCGTGTCACTTGCTCCCTTTCCCACCCTCTCTATCCAATACACCTCTCTGTGGCTCCTTTATGACTTTCATTCTCTCTTCCTGTTGAGAGGTGAAACAGTTTATTGGCTATCCAGTCAAGAAGACCTGAGTTCAAATTCTGCCTCCGCCATTTACTACTTTTGTGACCTGGGGCAGGCCACTGACCTCCATGAGCCTCAGTTTTCTCATCTGTAAAATGAAGGGTTTACTCCCTGAGATCTTTTTCAAATGTAGATCTAAGATATTTCTCCTGCAGTTGGGGGAATAGACTTCAGAGACCAAGAGGTAGATTCTCGAAGTAAAAACACAGTTGCCCTGAGGACGGACATTCTGAGTAAAGCTTCTGCATCAGTCTGATACAGGAAGCCAACCAAGGGGCTGAACCCTCCTGGCTGGTCCTCCTTCAGAGTCTTCCAAATCTCCAGCAGTGGAAAGCAGCAGCTTTGGCATCTGTCTTCTCCTTCCCTCCAAAGTCTGTGTTACATGTTCTAAGAGGCAAAACTTTGTTCCTAACTTCCTAAAAGAGTCCTAGCAAGGCAAGTGGGCCCAAGAGGCAAAGATCAGAGACTATCGTAGTAGGGTTTCCCAAAGTCAGCTGTCCTGTAAAGCCCTCTGGGGCAAATACAGCTGGAGTTGATCTATTATCCCCACAGCCTCCAGAAACCTGGGATTATTTGGAAGCAGTCTCAAAATTCAATCAAATACTGGAAAGCTTGGTGGAAAACACTGAGCTAGGGAAACAAAAATCTCTTATTCATATTACTTTGCTTTCTTGTGTGGGAAACACCTTTGCTGTCAGGGGTGAAAGGAGGTCGAAGGTATCAGGAGAAAGAGGCTGCTGTTCTGGGAAGGGAAATTGATTTTTGTGCAATCGCAAATAGCAAGTTAAAGGTCTCTTCTCTGCGCACATCTGTGTGTAGATCT